GGGTTACAAAAAAAAACAAAAACAAAAAATTCGATCATGGATAAAAAAAATAAAAAAAAATAAAAAAAAAATAAAAAAAAAATTACTTTTCTTCCGTACAGGACTCGTCGATTCTGTACAGTGAATCGTCGAGTCACTGTACAAAATCGTCCGGTTCTCTCTAGAACCGGACGATTCCCGTTTTTTTCACCGATTCGAACAGTCCATGGCGATTCCCGAGTCAAACCGGGCGAGTCCTGTTCGACTCGGCGTTTTTTTAAACACTGATTCTATCTTATGATTTTATACAAGTTTTTGGTGAGTTCCTTGAGTGATTTTTTTGGCGTAGGTTTTTGGGGTTCAAAAAATACATATATATATATATATACCCACAAGGTAGGGCATATTATGATATATTTGGTGATAGAACATAGTGGCCAGATATATAGGCTAGGAAATTTGGTATAAATATAATCATGATTTAAAAATGGTATAATAGGTATTTTCTTTGATATGTTATATGTGGGAAAGGAGGGTAGGATGTTATATTTAGGAGTCAGGGACTCAAATGATAGGGCAATGATTTGAACAATATTGATGGCTTCACGGAGAGTGATTATTTGAAAAGGATTGTATATCATGACACCATTTACTTTTAGTACAAGGAGGTCACAATCATTTTTAGTTAGTCGATATAAAATCTAAGAGATTGAATTGTATCACAATATTGAGAAAATTTATTTGGGACTTTCTGCTTAATCAGTAATGTATCTTCAACCACCCAATGTCACATCAAATGGTCAATAATGATTGTGACGTCCTCGTATAAAAAATAAATGGTCTTATATAATACATTTTTTGAGATGCATGTCTTGTGTCGCGACTATACAAAAAGGGCTCTTAATTTTGATGGATTTAACAAGATCTTTCCCCCACCTAAGAAACTCTCCACTCATAAATAAATACCAATAGATAAGGTCCTCATAAAGTACGAAAAGTATTAAGGGTCTACACACGAATGTGGCAGTAGCTAAATAACGCAAGATGCATTGACACTTACATGGTGTCATTCGGTGCCAATGCATCTTGCGTTCATCAGGAAAAACATATGCCACAATAGCTCAAAAAAAATTCAGACTCATGATCATCATCACTGTTGAGATTAGCAAAATCTAAAATTTTGGATCCACAATCTATTTTTAAGATGGTTTTTGGAGAGAAGTAGTATAAACATAGGTGAGTTGGTTGATTCACCAAATACGGTTTTTTATTATTTATAGAGACATCTCCATCAAATATATGAAGAGAAGACGCAAAAACATAGATGAGTCGGTTGATTCACCAAATACGTTGCTCTCCTTTTTATTTATTTATTTATTTATTTATTTATTTATTTAATGAATACGTTCCCCATCCGAAATCAAATATATAAAGATGAAATTTAGAAGTATATACATGATGTAAGTCGACTGGGTCCTTTGGAGACATTGTTCTCTCCATCTTCCCAAGTATACACAATTTCAATTTTAATGGTTCCACCTTAATCAAATTGGGAAGATCTTGTTTTTGGGGGAAAATGGATTGAATATAGCTACCATAAGGTGTAATTACTGGGCTCGGGCTTGGAACATCGGCTGTGCTTGAGTTAGTAACTCAAGCATAGTCTGAGGGGTGTATGAGCTTAAAAAAGGAGTAAAATAAAAAATAAAAACAATTTTTCCAAATAAAAAAAAAAGTAAAAAGCACATTAACATTCCATGAAAGATGGAACTAATATAGAAAACATGGAAAGAATTGATTATAGCCGGTAATAATTTAAAAAAAATCCAAAAAGGAAGAAAATTAAAACAAAGGATAAAAAAAACTCACAAATCATTGAAAAATATCAAATATAAAAAATATTTATGCATTAATTAAAAATAATAATTTTTTATAAATTTTTATAACTTTTATATAACTGAGTTTGTGCCTTAGAACTCTTACTTAGCAAGGTGCTGACTCTGAGTTGACTCACGAAAATTAAAATCATTTCAATTTTCAAATGAACCTGGCTAGATTTGAGAACAAGAAAGGTTTTCTAAAAGATCTCGTGTGAATGTACCAGAGACCCATCTCTTTGCTTTGGCTAATGTTATGGTGATTATAATTCACACTCCTGGCATAAATATATAAGGTTATGAGTCACAATTACTTCTAACCGTTAGATATTAAACTGGATGACATAGGGCATGTCACAAAGTTTGAAATTATTTTTTTGAGTTGGGTGGGTAAAGTGGAGATGTATATCAGGTGGGCAAAAAAAAGTTGTATACGACAACTGTAATACGAGCCATACTTAATGGGACAAAATGTTGGGCAGTCAAGAAACAACATATCTATAAGATGGGTGTAGCTGAGATAATGATGTTGAGATAAATGAGTGGTAAGACAAGAAAGAATAGAATTCGAAATGATTACATTTTAGAGAATTTAGGTATAGTTTTAATAAGTTATAAAACAAGGAAAAATAGACTTAGGTGGGCTAGCTATGTGCAACGTATATCTAATACAACATCGGTTAGGAGGTGCGATTTGGTTCAAGTGGGAGGCTCTGAAAGGACAATTGGTAGGCTTAAAAGGACATGAATGAAAGTAGTGGGAAAAGATATGGTCACATATGGACTTATTGAGGGTATGACTCTTGATAGAACATAATGACATAGTAGAATTCATGTAGCCTACTCCAAATAGTTGGGATAAAGATTGGATGATGATGATGATCCATATATCTCGATGTTGACATGATCTACAATTTAAGGTGTCAACCTCATATAAACTTTTTCCAGTAATCTTTTTGTTTTTGGAGCATTATAACGAAGGACCACAATTAGGAAGTCAGGGAATAATAATATATCCACGAATCAGACGAACCAGAATATCATTAATAGATCGGTTTTGTTTCAAAAAATTAGAGAAAAAAATAAGATAAAATATAGATTGTCAAAAAATAAGTAGTTATGGAATCGTGAAAATATTTCGGAATTGTTTGAAAAAAGCAGGGTAAAAAAAGTGGATACGTAAAGAGGACATAATATAGGATTATGATTTGTAGTTATTGTGCCTTATAGAGTGTCATTAAAATAATACTTGACAATTTACTCTTTAAATTTCTTTTTTTTTTTGAAAGGAACAATTTATTCTTTAACTTTCAATAACATGAACAATGCTTACTCTGTTGTTGCAACATAAAACATATCATAGATTATTTGGAGCACAAAATAAAACAACTGAAACAACAACAATAATACTTAACACAAGAACTATATTAGTAATTAACAATAACTATAAACCAACGTATATAATTGTCGTTCAAAGAAAAAAAAGATAAAAAAGAGCCTTGGCATGGAATTGCAGTTAACTAAAATAAAACTCAGACCCAAATATATATAAAATAGTTTTCCATCTATAATTTACCCCAATGAAATAAAAAATAAAAATATGCAATGAATCGAACTTCTTTGTGCATAAAGAAAGCAACAAAATGCTCAAAAAAATTTGAATCTCGTACTGAATTCTTAGCTCTAGGTTAAAAAAAAAGAAAAGAAAAAGATTGATTATTGGGTTATACATTGCTTGTCTTTTTTCGCACACTTGTTTTTAAGGGAACTTATTGGTGAAAATTTTGTCGAAATTTTACTCTAAATGAAGATTCTTAAATTTACTCCCATTGTTGATGTATTTGTATTTAAATTAAAATTCAATAATATTAAGTTAATGAAGAAATAAATTTATAGAGAAGAAGTTTTTTTTGAAATTTTTTAATGATCTTTTGAGAAACTTGGAGTTCTTCACAGTTTTTAAGAAAACATAGATCTTTTTTAAAAAAATCGTGTTTTAAACGGAGACTTGCTCTTATGCAAAGGACCATACTTGTTACCGAGGAGCCTATGGAGCCTAAGGAGGAGGTCCACTTCGTCAGAGCTGAAGTTTCCATGCTTGATACAGGGCCTAAGGTGGTTCTTCCATCTTAGCCTGTAGCTCTTATGGCACCTTCTTAGCCCTGCCATCACGAAATATTTTACGTTGAAAATATTTCACTCTCTTTTTCAACGTAAAATATTTCAATCTCTGCTTTTTGTTTCTTTTTTAGCAAATTATGGATACTACTCAGGGAGTTGATTACCATTTCATGTCTCATTTATTCAAAATTATGATCATCACCTTTCTATTTTTTTATTTATTATTTATTATTATTTTTATTATTATTATTTTATTAAGTTTTCCCTCTTAGGCAATACAAACACCAAACAAATGGAGAGTTTTTTCTTTTTTTCTTTTTTTATATATTTTTTTTATTTTTCTATAGTATTTTTTTTACTTTTTATAAGTTACCTTTCTGGCAATACAAACACCTGACAAAAAGCTTTGCGCACACTCAATTGCCGGACCGCTCTTTCTCCTTTTTACTCACCGTAAGTGTTTGATGTTTGTATTGCCGGACCGCTCTTTCTCCTTTTAAGTACCTTTCCTTTTCAATTTCAAATCCCACCCCTACTTCCTCACCTACACTTTCTACTCATCTCTTCTCTCTGTGGAAATTTACCCTTTTACGGTAAGAGAGGCGGTACAAAACCTTGCTTTATAACAACCGGAATTGAAAGGTAGTGTAAAACCAGAAGACCCATTAACCGAATGGAATGGCATTCTTCAAGACTATAGAAAGGGTGACAGAGCGATTTACATGGATCATCAAAAAATAAAATTGAGGAGGTTATTGTCAAAAAGCTGTATGGTCTTCAAGACCACACTATATCATTGTAACCCTTGTTACATTTTGTATTTCAAATGCAATAAAGAAATACTTTTGAATTGATACTTCCTCTTTACCCCTATTACATTCTTTGCTATTTTTCGATCAAATTATTATACAACACTTCCGCAAATTTCCAATATTTGCTATCAGAGCCTGATTCGTGCTTCCTAAAAAACTCTTTTACCTATGGCATCAACTTAGGGCATGAATTATACCCAAAATCCAATACCCATCTTAGATGGAGAAGATTACGACTCAGAGTCTCCAAATGAAGACTCTTTTTGTCTCACATGATTTGTGGGATATTGTTGAAGACAGTTATTTAGTATCTGAAGATGCAGCAACACTTGATTCGTGGTCACAAGCAAAGCAGAATGAATTCAAGGAAAACAAAAAGAGAGATGCAAAGCCCTTCCCTTCATCCAGCAAACTGTAAGTAAATCTATCTTTTCTAAAATAAAAATTATGTCAAAATCCAAAGAAGCTTGGGATATTTTGAAAATGAATTTCAGGAAGTTGTTTAGAACTTTTTTACCAGAGTTGTTGGAATGATAAATCAGAATAGATGTTATGGAGATGATATTTCTGATAAAAAAATTATTCAGAAAATTTTGAGAAGCTTGCATGAAAAGTTTGACCATGTTGTAGCTACTATAAAATAATCAAAATATTTATCTGAAATTTCATTACAAGAATTAAGCGGGTCTCTTGAAGCACACGAGCAAAGAATGAACAAATTTTCAAACCAGAATATAGAGCAAGCTTTTCAATAAAAAATGACAGTTTCAAAAAAAAAAAATATTGAAGAAATAAAGAAAGGGGGCATTTCAAAATTATCAAAGTGGTCGTGGAAGACAAAATTTTTCTAGGGGCCAAGGAAGAAGAAGAAATAATTTCAATAGCCACAGAAATCCATATGGAAAAGATAAACCTAAATTTTACTATATTATTTACAAAAATATCAGAGCATGAATCCAGAGATTGCATATATAAATGTCAAAAATGTAGAAACCCCAATAATTCTTACAGAGATTGTAGGTTTCAACAGAAACATAGTAATACATGCCATATGTTTTATCTATGTATGAATGTTCAAAAGAATTCACATGATATTTGGTATCTGGATAGCGGTTGTAACAATCATATGACATGAAATCGAAGCAGCTTTCTTGAGATAGGCGAAAAAGTCACTTTTCAAGTCAGGCTCGGCAAGTTCCAAAATGTTGAAGAAAACGGATTACATTAAAACCAAACGGAGGAAATCCTAAATTCATTTCCGATGTTTTTTATGTTCCTGACTTGACTCGAAATCTTTTGAGTATTGGTAAATTAATGAAAAAACAGTATTCGGTCAATTTCAATAGAGATGAATGTGTGATTTTTTATAAAAAAACTAAATAGATTATAGCCAAGGTGAAAATAACCACAAATAAGGTTTTTCCTATGGCGATGTTGTAATGTAAAAATTATGCATTACGTTTTGAAAATATTGATAAATCTTACTTGTGGCATTTAAGATTTGGCCATTTAAATTTTCAAAGTTTGAAATTGATGAATAAAAAAGGTATGCTAATTGGACTATCATCACCAAATAAAGAAAGAAAATATGTGAAGGGTGTATCTATAGAAAATTATATAGATTGCCATTTTCGGAGTCATCTTGGAGATTAAGTGCTCCATTGGAACTGGTTCATGCAGACATATATGGACCGACCAAAAAACTTTTAATAAGAAAATATATTTTCTTTTAATTGTTGATGATTACAACAGAATGATGTGGGTATATTTCTTGGCTAAAAAATCAAAAGCATTTTAAGTTTTTACTCAGATTAAAGCTGATGTAAAAAAACAAAGTTTTTTTCCATTAAAAGCCTTGAAAACAGATCGAGGAAGAGAATTCACATCAAAAGAATTTTGGAATTTTTGTAAAAAGAATGGAATCAGTAGAGAGTTGACAACAATATATGCACCACAACATAATAGAGTAGCTGAGAGAAGAAACATAACAATTATCGAAATAGCTCGGAGTATGTTGAAAGGTAAGAATTTTTCTAATAAATTTTGGGCTGAAGCCGTCTATACTGCTATCTAAATTTTGAACATGTCTCCTATAAAATCCCTAAAAAAATAAAATACCTTTTGAGGCATGGTATAAGAGAAAACCAAAAATTAAACTCTTTCAGAGTTTTTATATGCATTGTTTATAGGAAAAGTACTTCTCAAAATAGAGAAAAATTTGATGAAAAAGGTGAAAAATATATCTTTGTTGGATACAATGAAGGTTCAAAAGCTTATCGTCTTTACAATCCAAAAACAAATAAATTAGTAATTTTCAAAGATGTTATCCTTGATGAGAAAAGTAAATGGAACTTGAATGAAAATTCTGGCTAAGAAACAAAAATTTTAGAGAATGATGATTCAAATAAAAGTTCAGATCCAAGCCCTTCAAGTTCAAGTCAAAAAAGTCCAAGACAAGGAAGTCCAAGTTCAAGTTCTTCAGATTTAGAGATGCTTCCAAGAAAAGTAAAGTATCTTTCAGATATTTATGAATCATGTAATGTTGCTTTCTTTTCTAGTGAACCACAGAATTTTGAAGAAGCGGTTAAAGAAACAATTTGGGTAAATGACATGAATGAAAAAAGTTCTATCATAAGAAAAATAATACATAAAAACTAGTAGATCACCCAAAAGGGAAAGAAATAATTGGTTTGAAATAGATTTATAAAACCAAATATAATGAAGATGGGTCCATTAAAAAACATAAAGCTCGTCTAGTGGCAAAAGGTTATTCACAGCAACCTAGAATATATTTCATTGAAACTTTTGCCTCTATTGCCAAACTAGAAACCATTCGAACTGTTTTGGCCAAACCTGCCCAATTAAAAATCCTAGTTTTTCAGTTGGATGTAAAATCTGCTTTGAATGAGAAACTTGAAGAAGAAGTATATGTTGAACAACAGTTGAGTTTTGTTGAAAAAGGAAAGGAAGAAAAAGTTTATAAACTGAAAAAGGCATTGTATGGGCTAAAACAAGCTCCAAGAGCTTGGAATAGTAAAATTGATAAATATTTTCAAAAAAATGGATTTGAAAGAAACCCAGGTAAACCTTCATTTTATGTGAAAATGGGAAAGGGAAATTCCTTCCTAATTGTATGTCTTTATGTGAATGATTTGATTTATACTGGTACATGCCAAAAAAATGTAGAAGAGTTTGATAAAGTCATGATGAAAGAATATGAAATGATTGATTTGGGAATTATAAAATATTTTTTTGAAATCCAAGTAAAACAGTCAGATGGAGTAATTTTTTTCCCTCAAGAAAAATATGTTGAAGATCTCTTGAAAAAATTCAAAATATCAAATTGCAAGCCAATGAGTACTACAACGGCAGTGAATGAAAAAATTGTCAAAATATGATGGTGCAGAAAAAGTTGATGCATCGATTTATCGAAGCTTGGTTGGTTCTTTAATTTATTTGATAAACACAAGCATAGATATTGTGCACGCAGTCAATATTATTAAAAATGTTTCTTTTTCAATAAATTTAAAAAACAACTAATTTTTTTGAAAAGTATGTCCATACCCATTCTTTAACTTTCTATAAAATTTTTTATCAAAAATATCCTTCGCAGTTCGATTGGAGCCGTAATGGTCCGACACACATCTCTCACCTCTCAAGTTGTTTTGTAGACCATCACTGTACTTATAGGTACACGATGGTTCAACATCCTTTTCTAGACCATCACAGACCATCAGCCACTATTAGGTACTGTGATGCTGTCATAGTCTATAAAATAGTATGTTCCCTCACATATTAGTAGTATGATGGTCCAAAGAACCTTGATTCATTATGGCGCTAATAAAACCGTGGTGGTCATTTTAGGACATTGAACCATGACGGTTCTATGAGTATTGTTATGTTCTTTGGTAAAAAATATATATAGAAAGTTAAAGAATGGATAAGAACATAGATTTTAAAGAATTTGAGCATTTTTCAAATTAATTGAAAAAAAGAGATATTTTTATAATTACCCTGAAACTTAACATGACAAAAAAAAGATAAATTTGAAATAATTGTCACTCGAGTTGTAAGGAATTTAAAACGCATCGAAAAAACCATAAGTGCAAGTGGCAATTCACTTTCAAGAATATCTTTAGATGCTTACACTCTATTGGATATTGGGTTTTTGTGACCATTAAAGGCTTTATGAAAGCTTGTATATAAACATTTTATATAATAAAATATAA